AACATTCTCGTCTCCATTAATAAAAGCATTTTTGTCATTTTTCATATTTACATTTTCTAACTGCTAAAATGTCTTTTCAGAGAGTAATCTGAATGTCAATTCAGTTTATTTCTTTAAAATTAAAAAGGAATTTTAATGAAATTTGCTACAAATTTTTAACTATTTAATTTTGGCAATTCATTCCCTGCAATTTACCCCAAAGATTTGCACAATATTGTTTGAGTAACTCTTGTGAAATGCACTCAAAGAAGTAACGAGATGAACAGGATATAACATGGGTGACATCCCACCAATGAATACTTGCCCCACCTACCTATTCCAGTCCACACCAATAAGAACATGTTACTTTTCCACTCCCCAAAAATCCAGAATTTAATTTTTATTTGTATAAAATTATTTTGGTAATGGGTTCACTTAAAGAAATGTTAATCACTCTACTGAAATCCATGACAGTTTGATCTCTGAGGTGTAGCCGCAGATTAATGTTTAACATATGACTTGATGCATCTTTTCCTGTCTCTTAGGTTGGTAATGGCTCTAGTGAGCCAAAAGACAGAGGAGAAGATTTGCATCACAAAAAGGTAAATTTTATTAATTCAAGGATTGATGAACTTTAGAAGGAAAAATAGAAAGACGAAATGTGCGAAGACTCTCCATCATGTCTGGGGAAAACTAAGAATAGAAAAACATATCTGATCTAAATTTGGCTCCAGTCTCACTCACACTGGTCTCTTTGTGCAGTCCAACTGGTCTGCCTTTCAGACTAATACTACTGGGAGTGGAACTAAAATCTCCAGCCAAATTTTAAATTTCAACTTTTTATATATGCACACACTGCATAAGAAAAATAAAGCCTTTCCAGAAAACTGCAATACCTTAAATGGCCACTTAAAGTTGGCTTAAAAACTGAGCTATACATATAGACTATTAATGAAGGATGGACTTACCCTCACACGATATCGCCATGGTTATGTGGCTAACTTTGTAGCCTCATTATTGGTATTTTGGATACAGAAATATTGGTTTTTCAGTGCCAGACCATATGTTTACTTCTAAAGTTAGAGATTTTAAGATGACACTCTGTTGGTTTTAACACATTTTTGAAGCCAGTTTCAAGTGACCACTTGAGGAACTGCAGTTTTTGGCACTTCTGTGTTTGGTTTTGATTTTTAGCCCTGCAGATTGCCACTTGGTTCATCTCCATGGAACCCCATGCTCTCCATTGTTAGTTTTCTATTCACAACAACTGTACTGGT